TTTACCACGGGTATGATGCAAAAAATACTTGTTTAGTGTTCTATTTATGTTGGTAGCCAGTTTTATAATAGCAATAAGGCATCTCAGGAGTTTATGGTATATGGCCAATATACGTAAGGGCTGTATCCAGGCACTCTGCTTCGCGTCGCGCTTCAGAATGGTCAATATACCACACCACCTCGTGTCTTATTGCTTAATTATAGTCCAAGTATTATAACCATTATTAAAGCGTACATGATACCTGGTTTCTGATGTTGTCTTATATATATATATATATATATATATATATATGAAATAATATATACACAATACATTTTTTAAAATATTTTTATTTTTATTTTCCCCTCACAAAGTTGTCAAATTACAAATGTCACCTGTCAAAGCGAAGGACACTTACTAAAAATATGCTTTTTTTTCATCACTAGAAATGTAAAAACCAGTAAATAACTGCACAAAGCAATGGTATGAAGAACAGTGGTGCAATAGAGGTCACATATTACCACATCAATCAGTTTGGTCTTTATAAGGTGATTGGGAGAGAGAAATAGGAGAGAGGCTGTTAGAAGCTATAGCCAACCCACCAAGTCCATTGGATGTTCACTACCAAGTCCATTGGATGTTCACCACGCCATAGCCGGATCAAAAGGCAGCAGATGTGGTGCTGCATTGGTAATCTGATTGTTGAGGCATGGATTCTCTAGCATGGTCCCCGATCTGTTTGTGCTTTTTTGTTAATGCCTATGGTGAGTCGGGACCATAGCGGTTGACAAGACAGCACAAACATGATCTGGGACCAGGCTATGGATTTTCTCCAAGGCCTCCATGGGTAATTCTTATTCCAAGACAGATACAAAGCATTAGGTTTAACTTGATTTTCTAAGTGTTCAATTTCAAAAGTAATGTGTGGCTTGCATACCTGATGTGTTTATGATTTATAATAATGGACTATCGTGGCATTAAAGTAATGGGAAGATGCATTTTTCTTGATTTCATCTTCTCAGTCATTCTGAAATGCCATTTAGTATTTCAGCAGATACATATTTGTTATACGATAGTGTAACATTCATCCAAATGAAAGATTTAGTTTGTAACCATGATTTTGTTTCATGGTTGGCAAATAACCAGCTAATCACTTCTGTCGGCCCTATTCTGGCCTACGAAGTGGTATGTATCTTTATATAAAATGTGGGAGAGGTCCATTTTCAATTTCAAGCTAACACATCTATAGGCACCTTTCATTTTAATTGCTACAGTCAATTTGATGATAAGAGGGACAGGACAATGGGATTTACCTGGATTCAAAAGTATTCTTAATGCCCTTTTTAAGTATGCATCAACACTCTTATGACACTAAATCACAATGTTTAATGTGTACTACTAACTATACATCTTAAGTCGTACAGTAGCCAGTGTGCAGAACTGAAAAAGTCTGCCTTGGAACCAACATTGTTGTGGGGTCATAGTGAACAAGAGGCTAAACTGTCCTGGATAAGCCTGTGGGTGTGGAGGCTTTCGCCCCCTAGTGTTGGGGAGGGAGAACTGGGTCCATACTCCCCAGCAATAGGTCCTCACCTCTCCACCATGAGAGCTGTTGTGTGGTGAGATTTATTTTTCAAAATGGCTGCCATGGCTTCACCCAAGTAGGTGCTGCACATTGGTGGTGGATGAGGTTAGGTGAGTTTCGCCCCTTACTATGTAAAGCGCTTTGAAAAGTGCTCTATAAATCCAATTAAATTATTATTTTTTTATTATAGGGGTCATGATGATGTTGAGTGACTAAAGTGCAAATTCCCTGCTTTATTCTGGGGTCTATAGACTCACTAAAGGACACTACACATGAGAAAAGCAAAATATTTTTTCAACAGATTTTATTTATTTATTAAGAAATAAAAAGGTTTAACGTTTTTCTCAGTAAAACCCTGTTTTAAATACACATTTTTGCTTTACAGGTAATTTAGCGCCATAGAAATAAAAAATAAAATCTTTCAAATTGTATTTGAAAAATGTTTCTTCTTCATGGATTAAAAACATTTCCCCTTGTACATTCTTAAAAAGGAAGGGCTGGTATGTAATGACATGTAATGTATGAGGCAGGAGAGTTAAATAAGTTTAACATTATGTTTTCTATCTGTAGGGATCTGATTATAGACAGCTAATTTCAATGGAAATGGAAGATGTAATCCAAATGGCACCCTATTCCCTATTTAGTGCACTACTTTTGACCAGAGACCTATGCCATTTAGGACACATCCGGAGACTTCTCCAATCTCCAGCGATGGACTGGGTGGCAATATCTTCACTGTAATAATGTCTTCTCATTTGGTTTTTCAGTAAGCTTCTTTGATACAACACCTGTAAGGTACCTAGCTAGCTAACTACTAGCGGTTCGTTACAGGTACCTAGCTAGATAACTACTAGCGGTTCGTTACAGGTACCTAGCTAGATAACTACTAGCGGTTCGTTACAGGTACCTAGCTAGATAACTACTAGCGGTTCGTTACAGGTACCTAGCTAGATAACTACTAGCGGTTCGTTACAGGTACCTAGCTAGATAACTACTAGCGGTTCGTTACAGGTACCTAGCTAGATAACTACTAGCGGTTCGTTACAGGTACACTACACATGAGAAACTACTAGTGGTTTGTTACAGGTACCTAGCTAGATAACTACTAGCGGTTCGTTACAGGTACCTAGCTAGATAACTACTAGCGGTTCGTTACAGGTACCTAGCTAGATAACTACTAGCGGTTCGTTACAGGTACCTAGCTAGCTAACTACTAGCGGTTCGTTTCTGCGCGACATAATACATCTTCTGTACAAACAAACAGCACTATGGTAGATAGAAAGGCCTATGTTTGGTGGCAGCATCATTTCAGAATGTCACCTATACCTCACAGGCCAATTCAGACTACCAAATAATCATTGAGTCAGTAATTATAAAATGGCAGGATTACTTTTCATTTCAACTTCAGATATTCTTTCATTTTAATATTTTTTGATAAAGATTAATCAAATTCTGTGTGTGTTATAACAGAAAGCGATACTACTGCATTGAACGTTGTTTGTTTGTTGATATTATGGCATAAGAGTTTGTGGTTTTCATTGAAATTGTAGTAATTTTGCCTCTCGCATTGTTTTAGCAAGTGTTTTTGTATTTTCTCACTACAGAGTTAAAAGTACCACCTATTTGAAAAACAGAGTGAAAAAATATCTTTCTACGAAGTATTGCACATTACAAATTGAAGTTTTTGTTGATTAACAGTAAGTTGTTAAATGACTATTCATCCTCAGGAAGTATTAGTAACTGGAGACGGGGTGGTCATTTTACATTTTGAATACAAAAAGGGAAAAACGTGATTGAAAAACAATCAAAGTAAAATAAACCAAAAGTTTTAATTTTATACAACAAAATAAAAAAAGAGAACAATTTTTTCTACGTAATAGAATTAACCGAAGCATCAGTTCACTACATGGGGTTTCACATTTCAACATTCCATTCAAAGAAGAATATCTTCGCATTGTGAATCATAATGCTTCAAATCCCAACAGGCTTTGTTTGAATTGTTTCTGCCTCTTTGAAAAGCTGTAATAATATAATATTTAAAACTAAGCTTAGATATGACGACCGATATATAGGGAGTGTGAAAAGGCTGGATGAAGTGGATAGCACAAGTTAGTATATTAATTAATTACCATATTTATTATCATTACATCAGAATGTACATTGACCTAGCCTGCAGAAATTCAATAGAAAGATCTGATTAATGTGATTGAGAAGCGGTCTGCTTGCATTTTGAATGGTTCCTTAAATGATCAATATTTACTGTATGGGGGAGTTTACATTAATGCATAAAGTCATTATGGCAGGTTCTTTAGATATTTATACATTGTGATGTTTTGTGATTATTATTTACTTGCCACTATGTCATGTCCTCTAAGAATAAAGGAAAACTCACTTCATTATTAAGTGCAAAGAATAAATCACGGACTTTAAACACGTATGATGTAGCTACTCTATGCACTGGGATGGATGGTATGTAGCAATAGTGTCCTTCACCAGCATAGTATAGTCTAGTTTAAAATTGAGTTGGACTGACTGTATGTATGTATACTTAACACTGTACAGGGAAGGCAGGTCTGTACCTCCACAGTCAGAACAAGTTACAGTTGCCGGCACTAAAAAGGTTAGGTAGCGCTGCAGTGTTATATATACACCGACAGAACAATTGCTGCAAGGCGCTCAAGTACCTTCTAGCAAATAGTTTGTGTCAAAAAAACAGAACTGCAGACCGGTACAGGATTTTAAAACCCTAACTTTTTAGTGGCCCGCAACTGTAGATGAGATGCTCTGGACCCTGAACGCAGCTTAGTGGAGGTACGTTCAGGTTCAGCTGTAATTTTACAACAAACATCGACGACAAAACACACTCGACTAATCTCACTGTATACAAGGGGCACCACCTCCACGATATTATCATACTATAGACATTAGTTAAGCTGAGAAGAGAGGGGCTAGGTTGATCTAGATACAAACATAACATAGTCAAATGTTACTGCTCAAAACATGACACACGTTTAGTTCTTACGGTTTTATACGGACCTTTCTTTGTTTTATGGATTTTCTTCTCTTTTGTTTGTTTGTTTTACGATTCCTAAAATAGAGACGGACACTTACAGTTCTACAGGAAAGAAGAAGTACAAATGGAACATGTACCGATTCTGCTGCTCCAAGTGGCTTGGAAATCTAATATTTCCTTCTAGCTACATCAAATGTAATAACAGTAATATTAATAACAATAGTTTAATAAAAAAATATTAAAAACAGAAACAGAAAACCAATAACGTAACTTCCTCTGTAGAAAACAAAACAAAAAGAAGACTCCTAGTGCAGATACATAGCAATGTAAACCTGGTCCTACAACTAGTTTAGTGATAATATAGTATAATAACATAGAAAGCGGGTAATTTTTTGAATTCGTTCCTCTCACAGAGAGCGCTCACATCATAGTTTCTACAATAGTGTGGGTGGGCTTGATCAGGCCGTTGTTCCCGTTGGGGTCCAGGGGGTAGGCCAGCTCGGCAGACATGCCCTTGGGACGGTGGTCGACTGGACGGGAGCTAGCACCTCCCAGCGGAGCCGCCACGGCCTTGATCCTCTGGACGAGGACAAAAAGAAGAGCTCTGTTTAATACGAATATACTGTCCAAGTATGATTATAGGATGGCAAGTGTACCCGTTACAGATGGAGCAACATGAGAAATGACCACTAGACTCACCGACTTCTACTGGCTTGAACACAACTTTGGTACAGTATATTAGTCAGAGGTCAGAGGTCAAGATTAAGCTACTACCATATTACTTATACCTGCTATATAAAAAAAATCTGATCTACATGAAGTACCTAGGGGTAGGGGCTAGGGTTTAGGGTGTACAGTCTAGAACCTAGGGGTAGGGGCTAGGGCTTAGGGTGTACAGTCTAGAACCTAGGGGTAGGGGCTAGGGCTTAGGGTGTAGTGTCTAGAACCTAGGGGTAGGGGCTAAGGGCTTAGGGTGTACAGTCTAGAACCTAGGGGTAGGGGCTAGGGCTTAGGGTGTACAGTCTAGAACCTAGGGGTAGGAGCTAGGCCGTAGTGTCTAGAACCTAGGGGTAGGGGCTAGGGCTTAGGGTGTAGTGTCTAGAACCTAGGGGTAGGAGCTAGGGCTTAGGGAGTACAGTCTAGAACCTAGGGGTAGGGGCTAGGGCTTAGGGTGTACAGTCTAGAACCTAGGGGTAGGGGCTAGGGCTTAGGGTGTACAGTCTAGAACCTAGGGGTAGGGGCTAGGGCTTAGGGTGTACAGTCTAGAACCTAGGAGTAGGGTTTAGGGGTCTGGGGTTATAGGAGTTGTGTACTAACCTCTATGAGTGGTCCATCGGACTGAATGATCTTGATGACCACCACCATAGGAATACAGATCATAGAAGCCAGGGCCAGAGTCCAGCCCACACCGATGGACCAGTCGGGGTACTCGTAAACCTTGTTGTACGTCAAAGGTTTGTATTTGACCAAGGAGAAGACGAAGCAACCCTGGAGGCAGAGAGAAAACACCAATGGAGGGTAAATGTATTAATGGTAACTCACATTCTCCAATGTCTGACAATGAGGGAACGGTTTGGCGTTCTTGTACATTTGCAGTGCCAACTTGCACTAGCTAACTATCCGTTTCAAAACAAGGGATCTACCTGAAAACCTCCTTGTTCTCAGTAATACGATACTTGATGGCCCCTTTATGTTTTGTAAAAAAAAAAAAAAAAAAAAAAAATTTTTAATGATGCAAACAGAGTCTCTCATTTCCTTCAAACAAACACCTATTGTTTCATGAACATTTTGGAAAACAAATGAAAATGAAAATAATTATTGACGTAATTGATAGTAATGCTATAGCAATATCCGATTATGATTAACGTTATAATAATATCAGAGCTGGTAGTAATTGACATCCACTAACACACAGTCTCCTCAAATTCTCCTTAGTCCCTTTCATTCTCTTTGAGTTCTCCTTAGTCCGTCTCAAGAGAACAAATAGCACTATGTTTCCTGGTCGTTAAGACACATGAGATTCAACGGGATTAAACAGGATTAGCCTCCGGACGGAGCCAAGCACCACATTTCCCAAATGCCTCAACAGTTTTAATCCAGAAGGCACACACAGCATGGGACGCCGGGCCGCAGGTTACCCTTCAATCTTTAACTTACAGGGACGCAGGTTACCCTTTAACCTTTAGCCACCAGGGCCGCAGGTTACCCTTTAACCTTTAGCCACCAAGGCCGCAGGTTACCCTTTAACCTTTAGCCACCAGGGCCGCAGGTTACCCTTTAACCTCCAGGGACACAGGGCAACAGGTTACCCTTTAACCTCCAGGGACACAGGGCAACAGGTTACCCTTTAACCACCAGGGACGCAGGGCCAATGGTTACCCTTTAACCACCAGGGACGCAGGGCCAATGGTTACCCTTTAACCACCAGGGACGCAGGTCCACAGGTTACCCTTTAACCACCAGGGATGCAGGGTCACCAGTTACCCTTTAACCACACAGGAGGGGATGTGATGTTACAGAGCCTGGCCACTTCTGTTAAGCAAATGATCGTAGGACGGACGGACGGACGGACAGATGGACACACACTGCTGTTATAGTAGTATAACGTTTTGAGTGGGGGAGGAAGGGATGACAGACATTTGCAGATATATCATTCTCTATCCTTTCAGTATGGGAGGTTAGTAGGGTTACGTCCCAAATGGCACCCTATTCCATATGTAGTGCACTTCTTTTGACTAGGGCCCATAGGGTAGAAAATACAGAAGGGTACCATTTGGGACGAAGTCAGTATTAATGAACATAGACTCACCACACAAAGAAGAGGTGTGATAAAAGACCAGCTCCATTTCATCCAGGGGTTTGGTCTGTAGCCAATCATGTCTTCAATCGCATCATAGAAATTATCAACGCCTGATGGGAAGAGAAAAAATAAATAGAGAATTTGGTCAGATTTACGTAAAGTGTGCCTCCCAAATGGTACCCCATATTCCCTTTATAGTGCACTACTTTTGACCTGGGCCCATAGGGCTGTGGTCAAAAGACGTCCACTATATAGGGAAATAGGGTGCCATTTGTGATGTACACAGTATTCCAGCTCATGTTTCTCTTTATGCTGTGACACTGCCACATATTCTGTGTCTAGGTCTAAATGTATTTTATGGTGGGTGTCAGTTGATATAATGCAACAGTAAATTGATACAGAGATAAAAAATGTATTTGTTGCATTTGAGACAGAACTGTAACATCTCTATATAGTCGGGAGTAGTTGTGATTGTATTTCACTGACAGAGCCCGAGGACATTTAAGGACCACAGCTCCTATACAGACATACGTAGACAGGGCATTATATTCCAGAGGACACGTACCATAAACCCAGGCTACAGCAATACATTCAAAGAATGCAACCCACAAAAGGCACACACCGCTGGCTGCATAGTAGTCAAAGAGTTGAAACACATACATGCCACCCTGTGGGAGAGAGAAATTAGCATGATTTAGTGCTTGGGCATGTGTGAATGTAGGATTCCATGCATAGATTTACAGCTTTACAGATAGTAGATCTCAGGCTAGTGACTGAGTAGGCCCCTAGGTTACACTCTTAGAAAAAAGGGTTCCAAAGGGGTTCTTCAGCTGTCCCCATAGGAGAACCCGTCTGTTCTACATGGAACACAAAAGGGTTCTCCCTGGAACCAAAATGGGTTCTTCAAAAAGGTTATCCTATGGGGACAGCTGAAGAACCATTTTAGATTATACATAGCACCTTTTTTTTTTTTTTAAGAGTGTAGTGGCGGGAGAATAAATGTCTACGTCACAAATGGCACCCTACTCCCTACATAGCGCAGTTTGAGCCTACATAGTACACTTTATCTAAATTAGGAATAGGGTGCCATTTGGGACGCAGCCATGTTCCAACGCCCAATGGAACCGAGCCGTCCCTAGTTCCAACCCTCAACAGAGCACTCAGTGAGAGGCAACATGAGATTGTGATGTCATGGAAAAAGAACAGGCTACTGTGGTCTGAAATCGCATAAAGCAGCAAGTCCCTGACTCCCTCGCTGTCTAGGAGGCTTTAGTGGGGTAGGATTAGGGAGTCAGGGACTGTGGTGGGTTTGATCTTTCTGAGGGTCATCACATGCTTGTTTCCACATTGTAAGTCTGAGAGGCAGGGACACAGCACAGTATCTCCAAGTATAGCTAGATAGCTATTACTTTTTACAGCTCTGATGCCCTGGTTTGAGATGAGCTTCCCAGAAAGTGACTGACAGTTTCAGTTTCTCAGAGTGGAGATAAAAGAGAGAGTGAGTTATATGTGTGAGCCAAATATTTCTCTAAATAGACCGAAATACAGTAGGCTACTGGGAAGCTCAGGCCACAGCAGCATAGTTGGAGTGGTGCTATTGTGAGGGACTGGCATGAGAAGACAGGAAAGGGGAAAGTGGAACTGTATGTATGGGACTCTTGTTGCTGGGGGAATTTGAGGTTTAAAAGCTCCACAAGACCATTTTCTATTCACATTAAAGGTGTAGCTACATTGCCTTCAGAATGTATTCACACCCCTCAACTATCTCCACATTTTGTTATGTTACAGCCTGAATTTAAAATGGATTAAATAGAGATTTATTTGTTACTGGCCTACACACAATATACCCCATAATATGGAATCATGTTTTTCGAAATATGTACTAATGAATTAAAAATGAACAGCTGAAATGTCTTGAGTCAATAAGTATTCAACCCCTTTCTTATGGCAAGCCTAAATAAGTTCAGGAGTAAAAAATGTGCTTAACAAGTCACATAAGTTGCATGAGCTCACTTTGTGTGCAATAATAGTGTTTAACATGATTTTTTAATGGCTACCTCATCTCTGTACCCCACACATACAATTATCTGTAAGGTCCCTCAGTCGAGCAGTGAATTTCAAACACAGATTCAACCACAAAGACCAGGGAGGTTTTCCAATGCCTCGCAAAGAAGGACACCTGTTGGTAGATGGGTAAAAAAAAAAAGATGACTTATATCCCTATATTTCACCATGAGGCCAATGGTGACTTTAAAACAGTTATAGAGTTTAATGGTTGTAAAAGGAGAAAACTTAGGATGGATCAACAACATTGTAGTTACTCCACAATACTAACCTAAATTGACAGAGAAAAAAGAGGGAAGCCTGTACAGAATACAAATATTCCAAAACATGCATCTTGTTTGCAATAAGGCACTAAAGTAATACTACAAAATATGTGGCAAAGAAATTAACTATATGTTTGGGGCAAATCCAACACAACCCATCACTGAGTACCACTCTTCATATTTTCAAGCATGGGGTGGCTGCATCATGTTATGGGTATGATTGTAATCATTAAGGACTGGGGAGTTTTTCAGGATAAAAAAAAAAATGGATTGTTGCTAAGCACAGGCAAAATCCTAGAGGAAAACCTGGTTCAGTCTGCTTTCCACCAGACACTGGGAGATGAATTCACCTTTCAGCAGGACAATATCCTAAAACACAAGGCCAAATCTACACTGGAGTTGCTTACCAAGAAGAAAGTGAATGTTCCTGAGTTTTGACTTAAATCTACTTGAAAAACTATGGCAAGACCTGAAAATGGCAACAATCAACAACCAATTGACAGAGCTTGAAGAACTTTGAAAACAAGAATGGGCAAATGTTGCACAATCCAGGTGTGGAAAGCTCTTAAAAGACTCAGAAAGACTCACAGCTGTAATCGCTGCCAAAGGTGCTTCTACAAAGTATTGACTCAGGGGTGTGAATACTTATGTAAAAGAGCTAATTCTGTATATCATTTTCAATAAATTTGCCAACATTTCTAAAAAATATTTGTTTCACTTTGTCATAATGGGGTATTGCGTGTACATGGGTAAAAAATGTTTTATTCAATTTTGAATTCAGGCTGTAACACAACAACATGTGGAATAAGTCAAGGGGTATGAATACTTTCTGAAGGCGCTGTATTTACTGTATTGAACATGTGGTGATGTTACTGTGATGCCCTAATATGGCTATAGCCTGCATTGTTATGGAATAATAAAGAGACTGGTAATAGCAGAGGCTATTCTACAGCCATATTTCATATTCATTAGGGTGTAGCTTAATTTTAGTAAGATTATTTTATATTCGTTAGGGTGTAGCTAAGGTTCTGGACTGGGCTGGACACTTGTGATATTGTATATTATGATATCAGTGTAAAAAGTTGAAGTATACTACTAGAAGATAGTACTTACCCTAGTAACCATGGTAAGTCCCAGAAGATAGCTTATGGAGCACACTATAGCTATAAAAATTTCCCGCCGGTAACCCTTCCTTAGGAAGGAGGGATACAGATCCACCAAGGAAGTGATCTGTCCTTCCACTTCCACAAACTGGGGACAGAAAGACGACACAGAGACAAGAGATGGGAGTAGTGCAGCATACAGTAGGCCTGATGGGTTAACGTTTTTGTACGGACGTAGTCCTGTGTGGCTCAGTCCGTAAAACATGTCTCTTGCAACGACAAGGGTCGTGGTGTTCGATTCCCGCTGGGGCACCGCATATGTAAAATGTATGCACACATGACTACGTCACTTTGGATAAAAGCGTCTGCTAAATGGCATATATAAAGACTTCTATCCAATCAGCCAGCCAGTCTGTCAGCCAGTCAACCAATCAGCCAGCCAGCCAGTCTGTCAGCCAGTCAACCAATCAGCCAGCCAGCCAGTCTGTCAGCCAGTCAAACAATCAGCCAGCCAGCCAGTCTGTCAGCCAGTCAACCAATCAGACAGCCAGTCAACCAATCAGACAGCCAGCCAGTCTGTCGGCCAGTCAACCAATCAGCCAGTAGTCTGGAAATGGAGGATCTGTATCTAGCTAGGTAGTCTAGAAATGGAGGATCTGGATCTAGCTAGGTAGTCTAGAAATGGAGGATCTGTATCTATCTAGGTAGTCTAGAAATGGAAGCTGCAATCACTAAACACACCTATTTATAGGACCTGAGTGATCAAATCTAGCTAACGTGCAGTATTAGCAGCTGGGAGATGATGCGTAATGGTGGTATATTTGTGGAGGCTAGCATTGAGCAATATGTATTGACTGACCGACAGACAAAATGACTGTATGTTAACATGTAGTTACTAACACTAAACACATCTATTTACATTTCATGTAGTTAACATACAGCATCAGAGGAGGAGCTGTAGTTATGGTACGACTGTCTTTGGACGCTAGCATTGAGCTGTAGTAATGGTACGACTGTCTATGGATGCTAGCATTGAGCTGTAGTAATGGTACGACTGTCTATGGATGCTAGCATTGAGCTGTAGTAATGGTACGACTGTCTATGGATGCTAGCATTGAGCTGTAGTAATGGTACGACTGTCTATGGATGCTAGCATTGAGCTGTAGTAATGGTACGACTGTCTATGGATGCTAGCATTGAGCTGTAGTAATGGTACGACTGTCTATGGATGCTAGCATTGAGCTGTAGTAATGGTACGACTGTCTATGGATGCTAGCATTGAGCTGTAGTAATGGTACGACTGTCTATGGATGCTAGCATTGAGCTGTAGTAATGGTACGACTGTCTATGGATGCTAGCATTGAGCTGTAGTAATGGTACAACTGTCTATGGATGCTAGCATTGAGCTGTAGTAATGGTACGACTGTCTATGGATGCTAGCATTGAGCTGTAGTAATGGTACGACTGTCTATGGACGCTAGCATTGAGCTGAATTGACTAACTGACTGACTATGTTAACATGTGGTTGTTTGTTCATAAGTAGTGTGTCGTGGTTTGCCTCTGTGGATTGACCATTTTTATTGACTGACTGTTTAGTCCTGTTTAGGCCTGTATTGATAACATGTGTATGGGGCCAGGAGTTTTTCCTCCTGATCACGTGCATGGGGTCAGGAGTTTTTCCTCCTGATCACATGTGCATGGGGCCAGGAGTTTTTCCTCCTGATCACATGTGTATGGGCCACAAGTTTTTCCTGTGACCATGAATTTGCCCATGCAGGTTAATAAAGCTGACTATGTGACATACAGGAACTTGCTTAGTTACAACTTCCCTATATCAATATACTGACTGTGGCCACGTACTAATAGCCGTTGGACATTGAAAATTGGAACAGAACCACATCTGTCTCATAACTTGCTTACAACTTCCCTGTACAATTCCCCTACAAAGTGTATATTTTTCACCATCTCAGCAATCGTATCACTCATATTAATAAACTGACTTACTGTCTCATAATAAAACATACAACTTCCCTTTACAACTCCATAACATTTTTTATAATTTCATAATCTCAGTGCTCATATCTGATATCAATAAACTTCCTTACTACTGTGTCATAACAACATTACCTACCTGACTGTCTCAGATTCAGATTCTTGATTCATAATGAGCATACTACTGACCTAACTGTCTCAGATTCAGACTCAGATCCTTGACTCATAATGAGCATAATACTGACCTAACTGTCTCAGATTCAGACTCAGATTCAGATCCTTGACTCATAATGAGCATACTACTGACCTGACTGTCTCAGATTCAGATCCTTGACTCATAATGAGCAGACTACTGACCTGACTGTCTCAGATTCAGACTCAGATGCAGATCCTTGACTCATAATGAGCATACTACTGACCTGACTGTCGAGACCCAGTAGCAGAAGCATGATGAAGAAGAGGATAGCCCAGAAGGTGGGCAGCGGCATCATAGACACAGCTTTAGGATAGGCAATGAAGGCCAAGCCAGGACCTAGAGAGGAACAAGAAGAGAGAGGGGGATGGGGAAGTGGAGAAAACACAATTAGAAACCAGGGTTCTATCGTTTGATCTGGTCTGATGCCACCATGGTGCGTCCAAGTATAGCACAGACCAAACTAATGTTAATAAGAAATAGAAAATCCTAAAAAGTATAGATCTATCTCGTCTTATCCTTACGATCATATACTGTAGGCAATGTAAGTGGAATGTATTGTCAATGCCCTTTTAACTTATGGCTCGTGGCAAGACTAGGGATTCATGTTATGACAAGAACTATCAAAGTAGCCTTACAATAGCAGTACGAAGCACAACAGCTCAAAATGTTCATCCCCTATCACTATGTGTATATAATAACCACACTAAACTAGTAGAATATATAGGCTAGTATATAACATAACTAGTATATAGTAGAATATATAGGCTAGTATATAACATAACTAGTATAGTATATAGTAGAATATATAGGCTAGTATATAACATAACTAGTATAGTATATAGTAGAATATATATAGGCTAGTATATAACATAACTAGTATAGTATATAGTAGAATATATAGGCTAGTATATAACATGACTAGTATAGTATATAGTAGAATATATAGGCTAGTATATAACATAACTAGTATATAGTAGAATATATAGGCTAGTATATAACATAACTTGTATAGTATATAGTAGAATATATAGGCTAGTATATAACATAACTAGTATAGTATATAGTAGAATATATAGGCTAGTATATAACATAACTAGTATAGTATATAGTAGAATATATAGGCTAGTATATAACATAACTAGTATAGTATATAGTAGAATATATAGGCTAGTATATAACATAACTAGTATATAGTAGAATATATAGGCTAGTATATAACATAACTTGTATAGTATATAGTAGAATATATAGGCTAGTATATAACATAACTAGTATAGTATATAGTAGAATATATAGGCTAGTATATAACATAACTAGTATAGTATATAGTAGAATATATAGGCTAGTATATAACATAACTAGTATAGTATATAGTAGAATATATAGGCTAGTATATAACATAACTAGTATAGTATATAGTAGAATATATAGGCTAGTATTTAACATAACTAGTATATAGTAGAATATATAGGCTAGTATATAACATAACTAGTATAGTATATAGTAGAATATATAGGCTAGTATATAACATAACTAGTATATAGTAGAATATATAGGCTAGTATATAACATAACTAGTATAGTATATAGTAGAATATATATAGGCTAGTATATAACATAACTAGTATAGTATATAGTAGAATATATAGGCTAGTATATAACATAACTTGTATAGTATATAGTAGAATATATAGGCTAGTATATAACATAACTAGTATAGTATATAGTAGAATATATAGGCTAGTATATAACATAACTTGTATAGTATATAGTAGAATATATAGGCTAGTATATAACATAACTAGTATAGTATATAGTAGAATATATAGTATATAATAACAATGACTGGATCAGAGGCAACATACGTCGCCTCTTCTCGATTGTAACTATAGCAACGTCTCGAAAACGTGGTGTTATAATGTTGGGATAACCTGTTACAACAGAAGTTAAAAAACAAAACAGGAAAAACAGCAAACACATAGAATAAAGTTGGTTTAGCTGTGAAATATGACAAGGCATCCAACCAAACACGACATGACTAGCTAGCAGACTGACTAGTGAGCTGGCTTTGATACTTCAATAATAATCATTCAATAAAAGCCTCTCTCGTGCTTGAGGCTGGTCTAGCAGGTAATGTCGTCGCCTTCGGCACATATGTACCATCCTCAGCGTGGGTACAAATCTGAATCTACTCTGCATCTCTCCCCAAAATAAAACCTCTCTCCTCAGGATCAAGTTGCTGCAGTTTAAGGCAAAACCAAGTTGTCTCTTTCTCAGTGCACTATGCACCTTATTTCACTGCTTACAGCACAAGGCGTATGTTAGAACATGGTATCACAAACCATCTACAGTACTGTGTACCAAAACTCTCCCGTTGAAACTCATTGAATTACTTATTCTATTAAACTGCTTACAGTAAATTGCGTTAATCTAGATCAGTAAACGAATCAACTAAATGAGTTTCATCATATGATGTTATATATACAGTGGGGTCTGAAATGATTGACACCCCTTGATAAAGATGAGTAATAATGACTGTATAAAATAAATAATTCAAATACTGAGCTATAATTTAAATACAAAAATATGGGGAAATTATATTACTTTATACTAATACAATTTCTAAGAGAAAGAGATTGCTCAGATATCTATCTCAGTATCTTAGCTATCTGAGCAATCTCTTTCTGTATTAGTATAAAATAAATAATTCAAATACTGAGCTATAATTTATATACAAAAATATGGGGAATACAATTTCTCAGAGAAAGAGATTGCTCAGATAGCTGAGATAGCGCGGTATTTGAATTATTTATTTGATACAGTCATTATTTCTCATGCATTCACTGCATCTCTGTACTCCGGCAGGAACACCCTGTACAGTCTCCTCAGAAGGATAGGGCTAGAGATATCGTTAATGGCTAGAGCAGACTGACTACATACGCACTGCAAGAGGGTGCCAGTGATACAGGATCTCAGTTAATACCATCAAAAGACCCATCTTTCATATCAGAATGTACAGTAATAGTATGTCTGCTATAATAAAAAGGTAGAAATGAAGGGTGTTTTTTTCTAAATTACAGAAAAATCACCTAAAAACATCACCACATTGATGCCTCCTTGTAGTATCCACACAGCAGTAGAAGGATAATGACATTACAAGTACAATAGTTAGAAACATGCTTATAATTAGAAACGCACAGAACAAATAGAATCCGCCATGGGCATAAACCATTGAACTGATCACATTGTAAAATATGGATAAATATGCTAGACCCATCTAAAACAGCCCAGAGGTAAGTACCATAAGTGAGACTTAAGTCATACTTGTTTATTTTAACGTGGCACAAGATGTCCTGGATTACTGACATTTTGCTTCACTCTCATACAATAGATACAGTATCTGTTGGAACAGGCTGGAGCAGGACTCTTAAATCTATGGTGATCGTGAGAAGAAAAGGTCATGATGGATCTCTCATGCATGGCTTGACTCTTCGCCCCCTAGCGTTCTGGATAAGATCCAATTTAACAGTAAAACTTTATTTTTTCCACCAGCATTTTCCTTGATACTCGATTGCTTGAAGAATCCAACCAGATCCAAATATGTGACATCCATGTCATAGAGATGCACTGAAAGGTTTTACCACAGTAAACTGTTTTTATACTGTAACTGTAACTTTTATTTCTGTCAAGCAGTGTTTGATTGCCGAAACTTCCATATTTCGATGCCGTCTTTCAAGAAAATAAATCCATTTCATTCTTTACAATTAACTTTATCTAGTGTCTTTCGGATTTTGTCTTTTTTTCTGTTGGATAGAACCAGCAACTCTGTTGTTTTTTGTTGTTGTTTATTTTAAGTAGCAGTGCCCACCATCACTGCCACTTTGACCACCTCGTACCTGACTCTGCCACATCGGCAATGTCCACCCCTTGCTCTTGTGCCATGAAGCCCAGGACGGAAAATATTGCGAAGCCAGACACAAAACTGGTACCGCTGTTGAGGCCTCCCAGCAGCAAACAGTCCCTATATCACACATGTCACGGAAGTTGTTAATGAACACAAAAGGAACCTAGGTTCCCCACTTTTCTTGTCTTTTTTTTTCTACCCATTTTTCTTTAACCACTGGATTAGGCCCCACCACCACCATCACCTCCCAACCCCCTCCCACCCCCCCGGCGTGGACACTCACCTATAGCAGTTGTATTTGTATTTGTTGTAGCTCCCCAGTGACGTCATAGCTCCCAGACAGATGGCATAGGAGAAGAAGATCTGAGTGCCTGCATCGATCCAGACCTGAAGGTAAAAAGGGGAGAAGATATGAAGGCTGAGACGCAAGCTTTGGGAAAACGTTGGGTAGTATTTTGACAATTTGGGGTATTATTACATTGGGCAGTATTTTGACTGACTTTGTCTACACATTTTTCCTTTTCCCAGGAGAATCACGTTTACCCAAGGACTACTAATGAAAATTAGCTTTACAGCCAACTACGCCACATTAACATTCTCTTGAGGTGTAAGACAAGGATGTCCTTTATTCCCCTTTCTATTCATTATGGCGATTGAAATATATTTTTTCAAAAGATAAGATCAAATATTAAACTCAAAGGATTCGAAATTCAAGATTAGGCCAGGATTCTGTGTGGTTTGTTTGTTTGAATCCCAGCCACAGTTGCTGAATGACTAGATTAATAAAGTCCCAAGACAGGACAGGAAGGGGCGGGGCAGGGTGGTTCTACCTCAGGGTCTTTGAGACGTTGCAGGTCTGGGTACAGGTAGAACTTGATTCCTTCAGATGCTCCTGGCAGAGTGACGCCGCGGATCAACAGAATGATCAGCATGACGAAGGGGAAGGTAGCAGTGACGTACACAACCTGTTGGGAAACAGAAGAAACCGACGATGTATCAGCAGATTTACAAATCAATAGTGTCGATCTCACCCACATACATTTCTTTGTCTAAAGAGACAGATTTGACTTCAAAATCTTCTGTGTAATGAGAATGACACATTCTCAGGTAGGCTGTCAGAATCATAACCCCATCTTTTAGCAGAATCCAATCCTCTCGGTTATACTCTTTCCTCTTGTTTTGTGAAGGCTGACTCCAAGCTTCCCTTTCCAGGAAGCAAAGACTGCAGATACCGGATGATTTACAGCTTAGAGGGTCAAAAGGAAAAATCAGGCTAAACTAATCAATTGGCGCAATAAGACAAGGTTTCTGGGATCGATCCAGCTCCCTGACTGGTCCCGGGGGTGTTGCTGTGACTGGTCTGGCTATTGTTTACACTCGTTACACAGAGATTGAATTGCACTCTGGAACTTGATTTATGGTGACAGTCTGTGGTATAGTAGTAGCCTGTTCAACTTGGTATCGTTGCACTTTGAGGTGTGTCTCATTAAGCTTGTGGTCCTCTGTAGCTCAGCTGGTAGAGCACGGCGCTTGTAACGCCAAGGTAGTGGGTTCGATCCCCGGGACCACCCATACACAAAAAAAAAAAATTATGCACGCATGACTGTAAGTCGCTTTGGATAAAAGCGTCTGCTAAATGGCATATTATTATTATGTATGAATCCATGCAGGCAGTGGCAGAGGGGACTCCATAGAATTAGAATATCTAGAACGGACATTCCCACCCCATTCAATTATCGTAAATACAATGTTGGCCTTTTGGTGTACAAATGAAAATGAAAGTTGCACCCTCATTTCTCCTTGCTGTGGATATATTTGACCAACAATTTGGCTAAAGTGCCTTCTTCATGGTGTGTTTGAGTAACAGCCAAATGTATGTGGTCTGACGGAAAATGTCCATTCCATTCATTCTATTTATATATGGGAAATATAAAGTACATCCCAGCTCACCTTCCCAGTGGATTTGACTCCCTTCCAGATGCAGAAGAAGCAGATGACCCAAACCCCCAGCAGACACAGAGCCAGGTCCCACTTGACCTCCCCGATTTCATCGATGCCACTGGATATGCTAAGGACGTTACGTCTGTTGGAGAGAAGACAAAGAGTCGGACATGTTTGGCATTGGGGAAAGAGAGGGTCCGTTTTTCAGACATGTTTGGCATTGGGGAAAGAGAGGGTCCGTTTTTTCAGACCTGTTTGGCATTGGGGAAAGAGAGGGTCAGTTTTTCCAGGGCAGCTATAACTGGGGCCCAGAGTTTTACCAGGTCAGTTCAAGTAGTCATGAAAGTCTGCTTTTTATCAAGACAACCTTACTCTACAGTAGTGGATGAAGGTTAATCCACCAGAATCCGTCACAAAAGGTACAACATGTTTCAGAGGAACAACACAGAATCATAGAGTAGCCAGCCGGCCGGCATCTAGCTACGTTTACAGCCAGTCCTTCAGCTCCAGCTAGCCAGTTTCTGCTCTGCTCAGCTAAGAGTGGTTTCCCTGTTCCTGGTCCTGTGTTTGCGCATGAGCATTCATTAACGGACCACGCTGCCAGTGCTACCAGGTAAACATGACCGTTGGGAGAGCAGGGAGAAGCAGGGGTGGGGAAAGAGGAAGCAGAGGAGAGGTGAGAAAGGAGGAAGCAGAGGAGAGGTGGGGAAGGGGGAAGCAGGGGAAAGAAAAGCAGGAGGATGTGATGAAAACAAGAATGGAGGGAGAGCAGGAACTAGAATGATTAAAGCTTGATAATGTTACAGTGAGACCCTTTGCTTTATTTGACCAGGTAGTGCCATTGAGGTCACAAGGGAGACTTGTGAAAGGAGCTAAAAGGAATAAATCAGGTAGATAGGTCAAGGTAGGATATTATATTATTAAAAACTGTTTTAAGTGAGAAGTAGGCATTGGTCTGAAGCCAAAAAAGAAAGGAAATTCACAAGCCCACAATGCCTACTCCACCCATGCTCTACCAAGGTTTTCCAGCACACAGCTTTGACCTACTACAGTAGTTGTGTTGGTCTATTGTACTTCAAACAATGTGTATGCAGGTTGCTTAAAATTCTAACGTTCTCAAGATTTTCTGTTTGAAGGTGCATTATATAACATTTCCCCTTACAAAGACAGATTTTTTTTGTGCAACCAAAAGTCTGTTATTGGCAGTGCTATTGTTACCTTTAATTCGGCCTCTGCCAAAAGGTCTGGGCCTTAATGGCACAGGTGGTGCGCTTGCATACCAAGGGTAGATGGTTTAAAACCTGGTCTACTGGCTGTTGCCCTCTAATAACTCAAATCAGTTTTGAACTAACTATTAAAGTATGTGTAGAATTGACCATGGATAGTCTCAAGTAATTGTCTGCGCAAGGGATGTAGCTCAGTTGGTAGAGCATGGCGTTTGCAATGCCAGGGTTGTGGGTTCAATTCCCACGGGGGGCCAGTATAAAAAAATAAAAAAATTATGTATGCGCTCACTAACTGTAAGTCGCTCTGGATAAGAGCGTCTGCTACATGACTAAAATGAAAAATGTAATTGTGACAGTCTTACATTGTAAAATAGGACTCAATTCCCATTGAAAGCAAAGCAAAAGAAAACGGTTTTAAGTCATTGACTTTTGAAGGTTGTATATGTCAGCCACAGAGACTAAACAAAGATATCCCCATGTACCCTAGCGCCACATCTTTCTTGTACCTTTTACAGCTTGTTTCTAGCCTAAAGCGTTGCAGAGTTATGCATCCTATACATTTATATAATATAGCGCAAGTGAACAGCAAACCTGTTTTTTTAAAAAATCGAATAAAGCAACACCTCACGGCACAGCGCCTCTCCCCCATGTGACCTACTTGTTGTGTGTATGTACTGACATGTGGAACTAATAGATGCACACACAAGCACACTACATGTTAATGTTTTTGAATGTATGTCAATTGTAAAAGTATTTTGTCTGGAATGTATTTTTCGTTATGTGTCGGACCCCAGTAAGACTAGCTGTCACTACTGGCGTCAGCTAATGGGGATCCTAATAAATTAAAAATATAATCTAGGTTTGGGGGGGGGGCAGTTTCCAACATCCAGATCTGAGCTGTAAATACAATAAAGACGGTCAAATGGCAGAGTTGTTAGTTTGGCATTTTTGATCAAAATGTCAAGACAGGAGAAGGAGCATACTGGAATTTATTATGGATGTTAGAAACTGGTGAGTTTTACTGATGTTAGCAAGCATGCATTTGTACACTGCAGTCAGTGCACAACCGAGGCACTGTTTACATGTAACAAGCTATTTGTTTTCTCAGCTACAGTTTGAGTTGTGTCGTGTCTGACAGTGAAATGTGGCTAGCTCTGACCATAGCTTAGACTATGGAGTAGCGAGCAAGCTAGTGTTGCAAAATCCCACTGCATGCATTGTAAGGTAGCAGCGTGACAATTTGCCCAAAGTTTGGTGTTGGTATTGAACTGATGTAGCTAGCTAGGTATGTTTTGTGGGAAAATGTTGGACTGGCATAGCTAGCTTCTGTGTCAAGGTCAGCTGTTGTTGTCTGGCTCTAGCTAGCTAATGGCTGAATTAATTTGTGTAAAAATCTTCCAATATCACCAAATACAGCTAGCCACCTTTCTTTGCCTGTTCACTAGCTTTCAGCTGACTGGTGTTAGCTTGCTACAGAGGCTAGCTGCTGGACTTTGGATAAGCAAGCTAACGTTAGCTATCTAACATTAGCTAACTTTACAGCCTTACGTTGGCTAACGTTACCTAGCTAGCTAACTGGCTATCATAGCAGCCAAGGACATTCGCTAGCTTATCTCTACATATTTGTTAGTGCTCTGATTACACGCAAGAGTCTAGGTCGGCAGTTTACACAGATGACTTCAGCATTTTATGAAAAACCATCCTTGGCAAAATATAGCTAGCTTTCCTCGCTTATTGGTTAGCTACCTAGCCATCTTTAGCTCTCATCTGACTGGTATAACATTACGTTAGTTAGCTATACAGTAGCTAGCTACAGCTACTGGCTAGCTAGATAATGACAACAAAACAAAATTCATTGGCTTATCAAATCGGAAACAGCTCACTAATATCAACCGACCCATTTCTTCATGTCGGACAATTATCTGTATGCATTTATTGATTAACCTCAGCTTGAAAACCAACATACATCTACAGTAGCCTAGGTTGGTTTTCAACCACTTCTTATGCTTGGTGCAGGCAACCTGCTGTGTTATTGAGTTGCTGAGCAAACGAGTTGCTATGCCCAGTTTTAGACAGAATAGAACTTTGAGATTCGGCTGAAAAATATGTTAGCATTGCCAGAAATGCTACAAAAAGGTAGCACCTCTTAGGTTCTCTACTGGCACATGAAGAGCAATAAATTATACATTTAATCAAAACTGTTGCACCTACAAACTTATTCAGTCCAAAACCTGGCAAGTCTAATGGTCACTTTATGGATGCTGTAGTCTCGTTCTTATCTGACGCCTAGGTCTTGAACTAGGTCGGGGCAAGAAATTGTATTTTTTCTTAATGCTAACAACCCAGTTAAAAATCTGGTATAGTGGCTCTCAGTAACGGCAACGGACGAGAGGCACATCCAATCAAGTTGATTTGCGAAGTTTCATCGACATTGGTGTCATATTGGCTTAGATATTTCTTTACAGTCTAAGACATTGGGGGATGGGGGGGGGCGGTACTAAGCTGACATATGTCATTGTTTTAAGATGGTCATACTATGGATCATTTAGCTATTTGATTTTGAATTTTAGGACCCCTTAGGAATAATTTTTTTTTTTAAATTAATTTATAAAATATTGATTTTGGCCTTTACTACTGAAGCCCATAGAAATGAATAACACATTCATAAATGGCAAAAAGGACAGTAAAAAAAAAATAATCACAAGAAACAAGGTTGAGTGTCTTTCCTAAATCTAGGAGATATAAAAACACTCAGGAAATATTCAAAACCGGTACCGTTTACCTTCAGACGAGTCCCGCGACACTTGTGGGGGGTCATAGAGCATAATAGTTTGCAGGTCAAACCGTTCAGATGTTTACGTGAGAAGACCGATTTTTGGGATCTCTCATGGTCTGACCAACACCGCTCTAGCTCTGCCACCTTTCACCGCAGATGAGGAAGTGCGACATTGGTGGATGCGGTAGATTGAGATGCCTCTAGCTTAAACTGACGAATGTTGATGGGAATTGTTTTGTTATGTAAGTTAGATTGACGCACTGGTGCGTCAATCGTCTATAGGGGGATATGATTGTTGGGAGATTTGAATTTAACATTGAGCTTCAACCAATCCCATACTATAGTCGTGCCGAACTATAGTATGGGATTGGTTGATAAATTGGTTGATATAATCATAATAAATTATTATATAGTATTATACTATATTCCAGTACTGTACTAATTCCCAGAACTCAGTGAGACTATCCTGTCCAGATGCCGTATCTTAAATTGGGCAATCCTTTTGTTTCAGGAATCGTCCTGCACAGCAGGAAATGCAAACTTGTAGTCTATTCAAGGTTTAAAAAAAGGCTTCTAAAGTATGTAATTTCTACTTTAAAATGTAAGACTTGATTTGCCCTAACAAAAAATGTATATTAATTATAACCCACATAATAATTCACATTTCTTGTTGCTGCAGGATTATGTTCCTGCTATGGTAAACTGGGTCAAATTAAGATATGTCACCTGTATACAGTAGATAAAGGTTAAATACATTTTTTTAAAGTTACTGTACTCACTCCCAGAACTCGGTGACGGGCGAGGTGAAGTTGGTGATGTTAGCGGCCAGCATCAGGGTCTTGTTCTTGCGGATGGTGTCCTCCACACAGCGGTCTGTGTTCCAGGAGTTTTTACACTTGGCCCAGGGCAGCTCCGGCTGGAAGCACTGGAACAGGTAATACAAACCCCAGGCCAGGATCACTATGTAGTAGATGTTCAGGAGGGACACGATCACAATCGAAGCATAGCCAATACCTGGGGGGAAAGGGAAAGGTCACATAAATGTTCATCTTGCATGCCAGACATCAGAGTACATGCAAATATTCAGAGACAAATGTATACTGTACAAAAACACTTACAAAGGGAGGTTTGACATAAAGGAATCCGATGTAGCTATATTTTGCAATGAACCCATGTGTATGTTTTGAATGTTGTTGTAATCGTTTGGCTATAGGACATGAAAATCTCCTCCTCCTCCTCTCCTCTACCTCACCCTTCCCTCATTCCTCCTCTCCCCTCCTCGCCTCCACCTCCCCCTTCCCTCCACACTCCTCCTCGCCTCCACCTCCCCCTTCCCTCCACACTCCTCCTCTCCTCTACCTCCCCCTTCCCTTCCCTCACTTCTCTTCTCCCCTCCTCCACCTCCCGCTTCCCTCCACTCCTCACTCCTCTCCTCTTCTCTCCTCCACCTCCCGCTTCCCTCCACTCCTCACTCCTCTCCTCTTCTCGCCTCCCACCTCCCCCTTCCCTCCACTTCTCACTCCTCTCCTCTCCCCTCCTCTACCTCCCCCTTCCCTCCACTCCTCACCTCTGGGTTATCTCCATTCTCTCCCCTCCTCTCAAAATCACATGTTAACATCTCTGTTCAAACAGACAGCAGTGTTGACGTCCTCCCACATCACTTCCCTGAATGAAAATCAGCCTCCATCCCTCCTCTCCTTTCCTCCATCAGTCTCTCCCTCCCTTTCTCTCTCCCTCCCTCCTCCCACTGTCACCCTCTGTTACTCCCCCCCCTCCTCCCACTGTCTCTCCCTGCCTCCCTCCCTCCCTCCTCCCACTGTCACCCTCTGTTACTTCCCCCCCCTCCTCTCACTGTCTCTCCCTGCCTCCCTCCCTCCCCTCCTCCCACTGTCACCCTCTGTCACTTCCCTTTTATGAAAATGAAACTGGGCCGCCCCCACCAATCCATTCAGGCAGGCAGCCACCAGAGCTGAAAAGTAACAGCTTGCTTTGCTGACATCCAGTCTCATCATATCTGAATGTATTATACAAATAGAGAGCTTTTGAGTGAGGCTTGGCCTGGTTTGGTTTGGCTGGAAGGTGAGTGCCTGTCTGCGTCCCAAACAGTTCCCCTATTCCCATAGGGCCCTGGTCAAAAGTAGTGCACTATGTAGAGTATAGGGGTGCCATTAAGACCCCAGAGGGGGTGCCATTAAGACACAGCCTATGTCTACAGATAGAGCTCGTCAGCTTTCTGCCATCTAGACTGATACATACACAGCTCAATAGCGCTGTCTTCTTTTCTGTTTATAAGATTGTCTGTTTGTCTCTCTCCTTCTTGGGTCAGACCTCATTGATAGGCATCTCTCTGATGTTTTCCTGCGCCGCTGCCATAGCAACCTCTAATTCAGCACACTATGTACACGGCATGGCTGAGTCTCAAGGGCTCCGTGTTTGTGTGTGTGTGTGTGGGGGGGGGGGGGGGGGGGGTAAAATCCCTAAGAAAATATATCAGAAGATAGCTGGGTAGCAAGACAAAGCAAATTTTGAGTGGCATGAGCAAAGTACAGCCAAGATCAGTGTACCATCTAATACTTTCAGTTTCCCTCAACCCTCAGTACAGTGTGTGTAATGTCTAATGAAGCCAGGACATATCAGCTGCCAGTGAGTTGGCAGTTAGGAGAGGAGGGGAGTCCAAAGGGAACAGGATGCAACTGCAGTACAGAGCGCCTAGCAACCAGGCATTATCAAAATAAGGCTAGTTGTTGGTTGGACTACCCTGGTGGCAAGTGTGGGCGAGGCAGAGCCAGTGTAATGCAATGTGTGGTAGCTTTCCTTCCTGGCCTGGGCTGGCATGAATAAGATGATTGACCTGCCCATCAATTATTTATTATTCACTTGATTTCGGCTGAAGGTCGTTGACCCGATTTGACCGAGAATGTGCCTCTCTTCTGGCTACTCTTGCCAGGTCGTCATTGGAACTAAGATTAAGTTTTTGATTGGCTGACCTGTATAAATAAAGGCTTTATTAAAATTGAATCTTTATTTAACTAGGAAATATCCTTGAGGGTAGAAACCGCTTTTGTGAGGGCAACCTTAAACGATAAATACAATTTATCAAAATGTACTCACCAGTAAAGATGGGGCAAAGTTTTTCCCAGCAGGTGATTCCACCCTCGGAGGTGTACTGTCCGAGGGCCACCTCCAGGAAAAACACGGGGAGACCTCCGCCAAAGAGGAAGATGAAGTACGGGATGAGAAATGCACCTGGAGGAGAGAAGACGAATGTGTCAGGTTTAAGAAAAACAAATGTGGTCAAAACCAATGAAGTACACTACCGTTCAAAAGTTTGGGGTCACTTAGAAATGTCCTTGTTTTCGAAAGAAATGTCCATCAAAATAACATCAAATTGCAACTCTGCCTAGAAGGTCAGCATCCCGGAGTCGCCTCTTCACTGTTGATGTTGAGACTGGTGTTTTGCAGGTACTATTTAATGAAGCTGCCAGTTGAGAACCTGTGAGGCATCTGTTTCTCAAACTAAAACACTAATGTATTTGTCCTCTTGCTCAGTTGTGCACCGGGGCCTCCCACTCCTCTTTCTATTCTGGTTAGAGCCAGTTTGCGCTGTTCTGTGAAGGGAGTAGTACACAGCATTGTACGAGATCTTCAGTTTCTTGGCAATTTCTCGCATGGAATAGCCTTCATTTCTCAGAACAAGAATAGACTGACGAGTTTCAGAAGAAAGTTATTTGTTTCTGGCCATTTTGATCCTGTAATCGAACCCACAATTGCTGATGCTCCAGATACTCAACTAGTCTCAAGAAGGCCAGTTTTATTGCTTCTTTAATCAGCAAAACAGTTTTTTAATCAGCACAACAGTTTTCAGCTGTGCTAACATAATTGCAAAAGGGTTTTCTAATGATCAATTAACCTTTTAAAATGATAAACTTGCATTAGCAAACACAACGTGCCATTGGAACACAGGACTGATGGTTGCTGATAATGGGCCTCTGTACGCCTATGTAGATATTCCATAAAAAAATCAGCCGTTTCCAGCTACAATAGCGATTTACAACATTAACAATGTCTACACTGTATTTCTGATCAATTTGATGTTATTTTAATGGACAAAAAATTTGCTGTTCTTTCGAAAACAAGAATTTCTAAGTGACCCCAAACTCTGAATCTGAGTATCTACGGTAAATCATTTTTACGTCAGTAATGTTAGAAGGGAGTGAGATTGAGGACATTCATTTGTTAGTTAAGTAAGTCAACCATGGAATGGTTGGTCAATTGGAATGGCTTTGAACTGTAAAACCTTCATGTTCTAGACCTAAATAGCAGCTGTAAAGGAACCATGGTTGCATGCAGAGAGACTGCAGCACATTTGGTTCCTTGGAAGTTGTGGGAACGTACGATTTTGGTTTCCCATTGGTTCTGAACGGTAAAACTGAAAGCTTTTTTGAATGTTCTGAGAACGGAAGTGAAAATTTCGCCTGTTCTGGGAACATACATTTTTAGCTTGCAGGGAGTTTCTGAGAACGTTTTACTATGGTTCCCTGAATGTTTTCCTGGGAGGTTTTATTAACATTCTGAGGAAGGTAATTATAGGTTATTTGAAGTTTTTTTTAAACTTCCTTAAATCTTTCACTAAATGTTTGAATAAGACTTTTAATAACACTGCTAGCTTAGGTTAACTGTTTTGAACTACAAGCACAGATAGGACACATGCAAACACATGTATTTTTTAAATCATGAAAACACATATTTGTTATTGTGGCACGGCATCAGTGAGATTTGAACCTATGATCTTCTGTTGGATGGAGCTAGCATGCTTTTTTAACTAATTCAAAGCAGTTAATTTTAATCCATTCAAACAGACCCCATTTCAAAGGAAACAAGCACCCATTAAGATCACACACTTAACAAGATAGAGGATAGAGAGAGTTTTGTTTTTAAATAACATTCTTAGAACGTTCTTTGAATGTTGCTAATGTTTTCTTGTGGGTTTTTTTAATGGAACATTTTCTTAATGTACTGAGAACAGGACTTTAAATAGAATCATGAGGTAACGTGCAGAAAATGTTATGCTGAAGTACTGAAATTCCCACAGAAGATTGCGGTTTCTTAACGTTCTTGGAACAATTTGAGAACATTCCCAATGTCAAACCAGTTGGAGAATGTTCCTAGAACATCAAAATTGAAATGAAATCTAACCGTGTTTGAACTTTTAGGAAGCGTTCTGTTAAAGTAATGAAATACCAAGAAAATAATGTTTTTAGTCAAGTTCCTTTAAATGTGCTGCGAATGTTCCAAAGCCAAGCAACTATCCTACACCATTCCCAGAAAGTTGTGGGACGATTGTATGCAAAATAACCACAGGACAACCACACTCTCACCAAACTCTAAGAAACATATGGTTCTCAAAACGTTTTGTGCTAGCTGTTGACCTGTATTAACCCACTCATTACTTGTATTAATAACCCACTTGAACGCAGCACTCTGCATCTTCTGTTTACATGAATGAGTCACAGTGAAATAGGGTCAATCACCCCAAACCTCTTAAAATACAGAGATGGAATTGGAATGGCTTCATTCCCCTTCACCCTTCATGTCCTAGGCAGTAGCCGCATACGAGACAGAAACTCACCTCCGCCATTCTTATAGCAGAGGTATGGGAAACGCCAGACGTTCCCTAAACCCACGAAGCCGCCAGCGACGGACAGGATAAAGTCAAGCTTGGAGTTCCACTTCTCCCTCTGGACAGGCTTCCCCTCTGCCTCGTCCTCGGGCCGGGTGCCCGGGCTCTTCCCTGGGGAAGGTTTCAGCGTGTCCTTATGGAAGTCCTTCAGACACTGGAGCTTCTCTTTCTGTGCCATGCTGCGTGGGGGAGGGGGGGGGGGGGGGGGGGGGTGAGAGAGAGAGAGAAAGAGAATAAATGATTAGATAGAGTTCATCTGAGGTGAGTTGATATCGTAAAGACCTAGCATCCTCGTCAATTGGATTTACGGGTCCCTGGGTTCGAGTCCCAGTGGGGGCTACCCACCAAAATTCGCTGCAATATGTTCTAGAAGAATAAAAAAACACCACACTTCATGGTGAACGGGGGTCCACCTGACTGACCTAATGTTCAGTTAATAGAACAAATTAAATCAGGAGCAACATCCTTCTCTTCCTCCCTCTGCTTCACACGGACACGAGGGTCTTATTCATTTGGCACCAAACAGAAGAAAACAGATTGATAAAGGGAGGGACTAACTCGACTTGTCCAATAAGAAACTCTTATTTTCGTTGTACCATGTTTTGCTACATTCTTCGATGGTGTGCGCGAAATGAATACGACCCAGTTTGGGCTGCTCGGTAATCTGTCCTCTGAGGAACTAGCTGAAGTGCACATCTAATGTATTTGCTGTTGAGAGCAGGACACAAACTGACTGAAATACAGTTTCTTACAAATAGGTGTGAATGTGTATGAGGCAGAGGAAGGTGTGTATGAGGCAGAGGAAGGTGTGAATGTGTATGAGGCAGAGGAAGGTGTGGATGTGTATGAGGCAGAGGAAGGTGTGTATGAAGCAGAGGAAGGTGTGGATGTGTATGAAGCCGAGGAAGGTGTGGATGTGTATGAAGCAGAGGAAGGTGTGGATGTGTATGAGGCAGAGGAAGGTGTGGATGTGTATGAAGCCGAGGAAGGTGTGGATGTGTATGAAGCAGAGGAAGGTGTGGATGTGTATGAAGCCGAGGAAGGTGTGTATGAAGCAGAGGAAGGTGTGGGTGTGTGTAAATATAAATCCAATCAATTATCAATTATTGATTAACCCATCATTTCTGTGTGTGTGTCTGTGTGTGTGTGATAAAATAATTTGGTGGGTGCTTATATTTGTCCTATTACACACGTACAAGTGTGTATTATACACATGTGTGAATTGGAGACACCCTCTGAGAGTGGGGTCACGGCCAGGGTCTGCCATTATCAACGGCGACCCTGCGTGTGTGTGTGTGTGTGTGTAAATTTAACCTGTCAAACCCCATGGCTATAATTCACATACACATGCCATACAGTCATGTCAACACAAATTCCCAGAGGGGCATATAATTGATGGTTTGGATATCCTGTTCTCCTTTTCCAACCCTGTTATTGAGTAACTTATCTTACGTATATGCATCTGTCACGACTTCCGCCGAGGCTGCCTCCCCTCCTTGTTTGGGCAGGTTTCGGCGTTCGTCGTCACCGGAGTACTAGCTACTGCCGATCCCATTCTCATCACTCCACTTGTCATGTCTTGTCTTGTCAATGACACACACCTGGTGCTCATTCCCCTAATTAGTATGTGTATAAGTGTTCCCTCTGTTCCCCTTGTCTTTGTGAGTGATTGTTTCATTGTGAGAGCCAGGAGCTCGGTTCAGCTACTCTTCCATTTGTTATTGCCAAGGTGGAATATTTCCCTTGTGATAGTTTAGTTTTGACGCTTGGTGCGTTTTATTTATGTAAACGGAATAAACTTGGTGTTTTACCTCCTGCGCCTGACTCCTTCATTCACACCTCATCACAGCATCAATCAATCATTCCATGTCTATAATACTTTACTAATATTTTTGTAATTCACAAAATATATATGAGGGGAAATGCTTGGTGTAATACAGTCTTGAAGTATGTGTGATATCATATAGGCCTACATAATCATGATATTTAGTACATCTGAATTGAACTGTATTGCCTCTTGCCTCTTGGTAGGCCGTCATTGTAAATAAGAATTTGTTCTTAATTGACCTGCCTAGTAAAATAAAAGGTTTAAAAAATCATAAATAAAATTGCTCTGTCACTCTACCTACAACAGGTCAGGCTAGCCAAGTCAAAAGCAAACTTTACACACATCACAAATACTACTGTGGACATTAGGAGCCGAGGGTTACGCGGGCTGGAGGAATCACAGAGGTGAGAAGCCAAGATGTAGAACTTGATCCACAGTGGTCCACCTGATACCCTGAGCCCTCAGCCCTGCTCTCTAAAGCAGTTTCCTCGCTCTCTCTCTACCTCCCTCTACTCTCCCGGTCTCTATGTACCCTCTACTTCCCAAGAGGACTATTGTATGTTGAAATGTAAACAGATATTATCTTGAATCTCCGTCCAATGGGAAACATACACAGAATTTACGCTGTACACAAGCTTGACGCCGGACACGTATAGGAGGTTAAAGAGCTCTATACAACTTGTACTCAATCACATTACATAACTCACTTTATCCATCAGTCACTTTCTTTTCACCCTGAGGTCACTCTCTCTCTGTCACTCAGTTCAATTTAATTCAATTTAAAGGGCTTTATTGGCATTGGAAACACAATGTTTACATTGTGGTGGTGATTTTTGTTTATTAGTCATTTAGCAGACGCTCTTATCCAGAGCGACTTACAGGAGCTCAATGGCACAGACAGATTTTTCACCTAGTCGGCTCAGGGATTAGAACCAGCGACCTTTCGGTTACTGGCACAACGCTCTTAACCACTAAGCTACCTACCGATGTGGGGGGGTGATGGTAGTGATGTGGTGGTGGTGGTGTGGTGATGTGGTGGGGATGATGTGGTGGTGGTGGTGATGTGGTGGTGGTGGTGATGGTGTGTTGTTGGTGTGGTGGTGGTGGTGATGTGGTGGTGGTTGTGGTGTGATGGTGTGATGTGGTGGTGGTGGTTGTGGTGTGATGGTGTGATGTGGTGGTGGTGTGGTGGTGGTGTGGTGTGTTGGTGGTGTTGTGTGTTTGGTTTTTTTGTTTTTGTTTTTTGGGTGGTTTTTTGTGTGTGTTTTTGTTTTTTTTGGTTTTGTGTTATTGTTTTTTGGTTTTTGTTTGTGTTGTTTTGTTTCTTTTTTTGTTTTTTTTTTTTTTGTTGTTTGTTTTGATTGGGGTTTTCTTTTTTTGTTTTTTTTTTTTTTGTTTGTTTTGTTTTTTTGTGTTTGGTTTTGTCTTTTTTTTATTTTTTGTTTGGTTTGTTGTGTTGTTTTTTGTTTGTTGGTTTGTTTGATTTTTTTTGTTCTTTTTGTTTTTTTTTTTTTTTGTTGTTTTTTTGTTTGTTTTTTCTTTTTCTTGTTTTTTTTTCTTTTGTTTTTTTTTTTTTTTGTTTTGTGTTTTGTTTTTTTGGTGTTGTTTTTTTTTGTGGGGTTTTGGGTTTATTTTGGTTTTTGTTTTTTTTTTGTTCTTTTTCTTTTTTTTTTTTTTTTTTTTTTTTGTTTGTTGGTTTTTTTGTTTTTTGGTTGTTTTGTGGTGGTGTCGGTGGTGATGTGGTGGTGGATGTGGTGGTGATGTGGTGTTGGTGATGTGGTGTTGGTGATGTGGTGTTGGTTGTTGTGGTGGTGGTGGTGTATATGTTAGTGTATCAACTGTCAGCTATAAAAAATAAATAAAGAGAGTCACACTCTATATACAGTTGAAGTCGGAAGTTAACATGCACCATACTTTTCCTTCCTCATGATGCCATCTATTTTGTGAAGTGCACCAGTCCCTCCTGCAGCGAAGCACCCCCACAGCATGATGCTGCCACTCCCGTGCTTCATGGTTGGGATGGTGTTCTTCGGCTTGCAAGCATCCCTCTTTTTCCTCCAAACATAACGATGGTCATTATGGCCAAACAGTTCTATTTTTGTTTCATCAGACCAGAGGACATTTCTCAAAAAAGTACGAGCTTTGTCCCCATGTGCAGTTGCAAACCGTAGTCTGGCTTTTTTATGGTGGTTTTGGAGCAGTGGCTTCTTCCTTGCTGAGCGGCCTTTCAGGTTATGTCGATATAGGACTCGTTTTACTGTGGATATAGATACTTTTGTACCTGTTTCCTCCAGCATCTTCACAAGGTCCTTTGCTGTTGTTCTGGGATTGATTTGCACTTTTCACACCAAAGTACGTTCATCTCTAGGAGACAGAACGCGTCTCCTTCCTGAGTGGTATGACGGCTGCGTGGTCCCATGGTGTTTATACTTGCGTACTATTGTTTGTACAGATGAACGTGGTACCTTCAGGCGTTTGGAAATTGCTCCCAAGGATGAACCAGACTTGTGGAGGTCTACCATTTTTTTTCTGAGGTCTTGGCTGATTTCTTTTGATTTTCCCATGATGTCAAGCAAAGAGGCACTGAGTTTGAAGGTATGCCTTGAAATACATCCACAGGTACACCTCCAATGACTCAAATTATGTCAATTAGCCTATCAGAAGCTTCTAAAGCCATGACATCATTTTCTGGAATTTTCCAAGCCATTTAAAGGCACAGTCAACTTAGTGTATGTAAACTTCTGACCCACTGGAATTGTGATACAGTGAATTATAAGTGAAATAATCTGTCTGTAAACAATTGTTGGAAAAATGACTTGTGTCATGCACAAAGTAGATGTCCTAACCGACTTGCCAAAACTATAGTTTGTTAACAAGAAATTTGTGGAGTGGTTGAAAAACGAGTTTTAATGGCTCCAACCTAAGTGTGTAAACTTCTGACTTCAACTGTATATATATATACAGTAATCCCTCGTTTATCGCGGGGGTTACGTTCCGAAAATGACCCGCGATAAGTGAAATCCGCGAAATAGAAAACTTTTTTTTTTTACAATTAGCAACTATTACATGTATACAAATACAGTGACTCACGTGTAGGCCGTTTCACTGCTCTTCAGACTGGGCCGCTGCATCCTGACTGCGCTCTGCAGTGTTCTCTTCTTCTGAAGCCCGCGGTGCAGGTGTGTTTGTTCGGGAGAAGAACATAGTGATAGGCAGCTGTTGTCGCTCTTTTTTCTTCTTTGCAAAAAGATCCTTGTACACCGACATGCCACCATCGATTACGTTGGAGAACTGTAATGAACGGCTCATCAAAGGGTCCCATTCCTCAGCTACTCGCTTAAGTTCAGTGGC